AGATGGCCAGTGTCGTAGGGCCCGGAGCTCGTAAGGAACAGTCATTATATAACATTCTCCCATTGCCTTTTATTTCGTCCTTTTTTTCTTCCTTCCTTTTTACTTCATTTTTTTATAGAAAAACTTTTTATATTACTCCTTTCCGGTTATTATTAATATCAGTCGACGTTATTATTGTTTCAGAAATCGTTCTGATTTCAATATCCGACTAAGGGGAGGAGTCCTATTATATTTTAGTATTCCGTATTGTTAAGGCAAAATATCGGCGCATTGTCTCCAATGTATTGTTCCACTTCTATAGAACCAGTTGAGATTAGTTTCGGAAGAGTAGGAGTCATTGGAAAGAACTCTAATACGAGTGAGGACAATAAGCCTTATATGTTTTTCCCAGTCTTATTAAAATGTTTGTATTGATAATACTTGAATTCGTATTTTTATGCTTACATTAATAAATTTTTGTGGTGTAAACAATTAGTTAGGTATTCACCTAACTAACATACGATGGAAGGTTAAGGTATCTATAATCATCTTTCGATAATTTACATGCAAAAATTAATTAATGATAAATACTTAGTATTTGACCGTAGTGTGTAAGAAAAGATAAGATCTGGTTTGGAAGTCATATAAAAACTAAATAAATATAGAATAAGTATTATTTATTTAGACGAGAAAGCCATTATGCAGATCTCCTTCAGGGTTAAAACGAGCAAGATATAATAGTCCGAGGTATAGACCACTTTTTATCAAATTATTAACATCCACCTGATCTCATCGTAACCTACAACTATTTACGAAAATTCTTGTAATTGAGGCGTTTTCAATCTGCAGATCAGCAAGCTTTGTCTATTTATTTAGGTACTAAAAACGCGTGAATACCCACTTGTTTTCCACTCCAATCTCAAGATAATTTGAGCAAAAAAACGAGGAAAAAAAGTATACTTACCGTTTGGCGTTACCTACATCCCCAAAATGTCAAAATAACGAGGTTATATAGACCAAACGGCATAATATTTTTATATGCCAACTTTTTTTCTCGATTTCGTGATCTAATTATATTGTGATAAAAGTAAATAGTACCTAATCAAATCGACAAAGTTTGTCGATCTCCAAATTGAAAATGCCCCAATTCCGAGAAATTTGTTGAATAAAATAGTTGTAGGTTACGATGAGATGAAGCTATTTAAAAAGTTTCAGGCGGATATTAATAATTTGATAAAAAGGATTCTGTACCAAGGACTATAAAGTTCAAGATAAGTAGATTATCAATAAAGAAAATTATAAAAAAGTAAATAAAAGATTTGGATTTTTGAAAACTTTTACAAGCCAAAGCAGCAGATTTGCTTTAGTAATTGGTCCTATCCAGTGGAACACCAACATCCAGAAAACCTATTTATTTTCAGAATAACGATTCTTATTGTTTGCTTCATTAGTTTTTTTTTGTGCAAATAAGTTATATATTTGGCTATAGCTCCATTTCCATGTTTTATTTTTAAATGAGAAATCAAATTCGACCTGGAATGCCTATTTCTCTTTATTTCTACAACTAGTGGCTTACAGTGTTGACATTTTGTAGTAAAATTAGTGGATGTACTTTTGTTGGTCAGTATTTTATAAAACTTACCATACAAAATAGGTGAACGTAGTTTCGTTTCCCAATCTTCATTGTAATCAACTTCATAATAGGCACTCGCTGCAGGCAATGGTATTTTCCGGACAAATCTTCGCAATTGAATCAACTGTTGATTTTGACCCAGTAGCAAAAGAACCATTGTTCTTCCGATCCATCAGGTTTTCTCGTAAAACACTCATGTTAACAATTCACAAAACAGGAAAAATTAAACTGTTGTTAAAAATTTTGTAAAATAATTCTGCTATTATGTCCAATCAATTAACAAAATGTACATGACTATGAGCTTACAAAAATAGCATTAAAAGCACACTCGAGGTAAAGATATGAAGATTATCCAGTTACTATAAAACCACTGCAAAAAATGCAACGTTAACATATCGTCGATACAATGGCAAACTATAGGATCTGAAAATTACCACTCTATTATCATTATGAATTCAGTCCAAACACAAGGTTGTTTTAATTTCCACACTAATATCTGTTTTTACGAATGTTTGAAGATTTTTTAATGGCTGTTTAAAAATATTTAATTACAATATCTATAATGTAGAATCGAATAAAATTCAAATAAAGTAAATAATAATCATAGAAAGAAGAACAAAATAAAATAACCAAAGAAGAATAAAAAAAAGTAACTTACAAGTGTAAGTAAAATAAACATCTTATAAATACAGCCACATATATATACACCCTTTACAATCAGCCGGGGGAACTTCGAACCAGACTAGTCTTCCCAACAGGTGAAAAATAGAGGTTTAATATCAGTTCAGTTCTTACGCTTACAGACCGAGGTAAAGTTTTCTTGACAGCATCTGAGTTTGTGTGTCCGTGTCCATTTTACACCACAAGACTAAAAGAATGTGGATTACCCCTGATACGTTCATCTGAGAAACCAGGATTTAAACGTAACAAAAGTTATCAATTTTCTACTAAAAGATTAGAAAAGATCAATTTCGTACTCTCTACTTTCGTTTTCATCTCAAACTACACGGACACACAAACAAACTTATAAACGACATGGCTACGACTGACTTTCCATCAGGAGGAGACTAAAAAGGAGGTGTATGAGAGATCTCACCTAAATCAAAGAAGTAAATGATGACCAGGAAGAGGTGCTGCTGGGTACTATCCTTCCTCATGCCTATAATGCCAATCCTCATCATCATAACACATGTGCGATTGTCAACACCATGACAGTTGCGGATTAATAACTGAAGAGAAAAAAAAATCTTATATATGTATATTTTATTTTTGCTTTATTTATCAATTTTATTATTATGTTTTAACTTACCGGTTGAATAATTTAAAAGTAGTTGTACAATTTTGATCGGGCACTGATGACCTAAATATTTTAAACATCAAAACAACCAACCAACCAAAAGATCTCTCTCAGTCGCGCCATTGGTGTTAAAAACCAGAAGTAGAAAAATGAAAAGATGTACAGTTCTGTTAAAATATTCGATAATAATTTACAATTTATTAAAAATTAACTGAATGCGCTTATGGTATTTTTATAACAGGTGATCATCAAAATTTCTAAGGGCCTTGAACTTTTGAGGGAGGCATATTTTAATGGTGTCATGAGTTTTTAGCATAAACCTTATTTTGGTGGGGTTTAATTTAGAAGAATTTTTAGAGCAGGAAACAATAAGAATAGCATGGAACAGAGAACAAGTGGAATTGCTTATGATTTTCCATTGTATTTTCGCTTGCACTATTCTTAAAAAGAGGAGAACAATACAATGTCATAGGAGGAGAAATCATTTGCTTTCAATTTGGCGAGGGGAGGAGGTGAGCACTTTTTTTAGTCTTTTAAAATTGATTTGTACCACGACTGTTTTATGTTGGCAATCAGAAAAAGAGCTAACTGTTCAGGATAATAACATGTGATGTAAGAGGAAAAACAGTACCCAGTAACCAATTTCAATTTCAGTAAATTTCAATCCTGTAACATCAAGCCACAATTAAAGAAGTACCCAGTAGTATCTAGGAAATCAATAAGGAAGAAGATCTCGCATCCAGCTCCTTTTTAGTCTGCTCCTAATATTAAGATGTACATCAGCTGTAGCCATGTTTCTTATTAAACTGTTGGTATATTTGTTGAAATGTGTATAAAATGGTTGGTTAAGGGTTATTTGGTTGTGAACTGTTGGTAGGTAATTAGAATTTTGTAGCGACCAGTATTTAGAACCTTGTTAGCCAGGTATCATGTTTTTTTTTTTTTTTTTTTTTTTTTTTTTTGCAGTCTTCTGCTGTGTGGTGTATGATGGCCTCTCGGTGGAGCTCCGTGACCGACTGAAAAGATTAATGAATAGCTGCTTAAGGTTTGTTATTGGTGCCCCAAGGTACTCCCATGTCTCTCACCACTATACTGAGTTAAGGTTGTCTTCCCCTCCTTTCGAAGACAATATTTCCTAGGTACGTTCCTTTATCAAATCACCAACAACCATCGTCCTTCTTATGCCTACAACCTTCTCCAATTCAAGTCCTCAGTCCATTCCCTTTCAAAAAGATCTCGACCTTCTGATCTCTACATCTCTTCTCACAGATCTGCCTCATTTCAAAACTCCTTTATAGCTCGCGCTGTCAATTTCTGGAATTCCCTACCTATCAAAATTCGGCGTTCCCCCATCCATATCCACATTGGAAACCCTCCTATTTCAATTCCTATCCCAAAAGCAGCTTGCTAAACTTTTGATATTATGCATTATTATTATATCATTAATCATCAAATGACAGTACTATTCCATACTGTAAACTTCACTAGGGATTTTAGAATATCTTCCTACTCTCAATGCCACTGAATGCATCTAATGTTGTTATTTTTTATTGTATTATTTATTTTATTTATTTTTATTCTTATTCAAGTAAATTTGTACCTATAGTTACAATAAGATAATGATGTGTTTAGATATTATTCATTATTTAAATACTCTGACAGTTTATATTGTCAGATTTATCTTTCCTTTGTTAGCAGAAACACAACTCATTTTAAAGAAGAACTCAATGTATTTTTTATTATCTTATTTTTCAAAAGTGTATAATTATAATTTTTCCTACCGTACATAATTTTAAGTGTTTTGTATATAGATTTTTTTTGTATATGGCTCGTTTAACTAATATTTTCTTTACTTTATCTTTTTTTTTATTATTGTTTTATTTTCGCCAGATGTAGTCTTTTAATTATGTACTATTTGGTTATTCTAAAGGGACTTTGCCCTAGAATACAGTTATTTTCTATTTTTATTTCTATTTCTAAAGTCATGCGGTTGATGGATGTTATGTATTATGTTCATTCATTTTCATTACCATGATTGCATTACCATTCTCCTTAACACACTTGATATCCTCGCCGTTATCAATGAACAGGTCAGGTGTACCTCACCTCTATTAACAGGTATGAGTGGCGGTCAACGGGAAGGAAGGAAAGGATGCAGGACTGGTATCGACCAATAGGAAGTTGACCAATAGGGGTGGAACCGGACGAGGGTTGGCCAAATTTAAATACTTGCCGGAGCTGAAGTTGCAGCCTCTGTGCCTCTCGCTCAATACTCCCCCCCTCTATCTGTCTCGTCAATTCGGGGGACGACATGTCTCGGCGGGATTTCGCCAATGTCCCGCCGCCAGCCGTCCCTTCTTTTAGTCTTAGAATGGAAACTGTAATTGGTAGAAGTGGTATGTAACTGGAGCTTTTCAGAAATCCGAAAATATGTTCTTTTTCGTAATATTATTACCAATTTTTGCTTTTATTTGTTGTCTAGCTATAGATTAATAAATATAAATATTCTCCACCTATGATCTAGTTCATCAAGCTTGAATCCATAATAATAATAATACTGTCTTTACGCTTCAAGTCGCAGGCTGATGTTTTGAACTTAAATTAAAACACTTCAAGCAAACAAATAATAATTGTAGCATGGGTAATAAAAACGAAACAGAAGATCTCTGTCACTTCCTGGCTGCTTGTCCGATAATCTATGAGTTTAGAATTTTTCTTAATTTTTTTTTATTTGTTTACTTAGCCTCTACCCCTAAGGGTCATTGGCTTAATGTTTCCATTTTATATTCATTGATAAAAGTCAATATCTTTTAAATATTTGAACAGTTTTCCTATTTCATTTTCTCCATCTTGCAGAATTTCTTTTATTTCCGTTCCCATTTGTAATTTTTTCCTTATATAAGTGTACCTTCTACATTCTAATAATATATGCTTTACTGCTCCGGGCACTAGGCTATATGTGCAAGTTGGAGCTTCTAATCCTCGCAGGAGGTATCCATGGCAAAACTCATAGTGTCCAATTCTTAGGCGACATAGTATCACTTCTTCTCGCCTAGACTTTCGGTATGATGTGTTCCATTTTATACATTTTTTTTTTTATTTCTTAAAGTTTTGCTGAATTCATTTCCCATTCACTGTTCCATTTATTTTGAAAGGAGAAGGCGAGGTGGTGTGTCCAATCTTCTCGAAGAAAAGCATCAATTATCGTGGTTTGTGCAGTTCCTTGATGCCGAACAGAATTGGCAGCAACATCGGCTCTCTCGTTACCCAGGATACCACAATGTTATGGTACCCAGATAAGGACTATGTTTCTATTTTCTTCCTTTAGTTCACCATATGTGTTAAATATTTCTGCTATAACAGGACGCTGGTTTGTTTATTGTTCTTTAATTGTTCTTGATTGTTAATTTAGAATTAAATGGTTAAAATCTAAAAATTATCTCTGGATCAAGTAATAGATTTAATAAATGGAAAACATTGGATAGAATAGGTAAATTACTGCAAGTCTGCTTTCTCCTATAGAATAATGCTCACCAGAGAATTTAACAATTAATAAATTGGAGAATTTTGTACTACACTTTTTGTAATTAAAATATTTATATAACTTTTACATTGTAAATGTAATTGTTCTTATTTTCTTATTAAGTAGTTGTAAATAAATAGATTGAAATATAATTTTTTTTATAAAACATAGACTCCTCTGACGGCCAACAGACCATGTAGCACCTCTGATTTTTTGTTTTGAATCCAAAAATATTATTTTGTAATTTATATTATGTAATTTTGATAAATAAAAAGACTTTTTCTTCTTCTTCTTCTGTACTGTCTTTACGCTTCAAGTCGTAGACTTTTTTCAACATTAAATCTAATAGGTTTAATACTGATTTATAGCATTACATCTAGTGTCTACATAAATATTGTGAATAGATGTTGCTATATTAGAGAATATAAATATATATTACATGTACCTCAATTCGATGTAGAGCCATATTAAATTATACTAAGTTGCTATGCATAATTTTTATGTATTTCATAAAAAAATATTTGTACGGGTTATCATTAAAGATTTTTCAAAACTATTTAGTATATAGTATCTCTTTTAAAATTGGGTTTTCATCAGTTTGCTGGTTTAGGCGTCAGTATTAATATGTTCTGGGAACAGACCAATCTAAAAAAGACTAAGTTGTATGGAACTGAAACTACGTATATAAGGTTGGTATACTTGTGATGTTACACTAGCTTGTATTTAATATTTTACAGTTTTTTACCGCTTGGTCGAAAATGGCTTTATTGATTTTGACCAAACTTGTTGTATAGTTCAATGTGAAATTAAATGGTCTTAAATATTAGTTAGGTCTTATCCTCATTAACGTAGTCTGTGAGGACTTAATATCGAATTTTCAAAATTTCTTTCTCTAATGTACCTTTAATAATAATAATAATAGCAATTATAATAAAAGAATATCTCTCAATGTTAGGAGATATAAAGATAGATAATTATTAAGTATAAATGAATTTGATTATTAAATCAAAGAGAAAAAATCTGGTGCTCGCATCACACAACTTTCACTTACCGCTCAATTTTGAATAGAAAGTATTTTCTGGCGATGTTGAGCTATTATAAAATTTTTGAATTGCATGTTTAACTGAGCTAAAGTTAAAAAATTACAGCTAACATAAACACAGATAATCAGATAATCAGATAATCATAAACACCATTAAAATAACAAAAGCTTTATTTATTATATCATCGGTTGATTATGGATTATACGATCCGTTGATTATGGATTGCAAGATCTGTTGATTGCGGACCATTTTTCGTTACTTGGTTATTTGGACTCAGGGTACCCCAAAACGCTTATTTCCGTTTAAAACTCAGTTTCAAAAATTTTCACGATCGCAATACTTACCCTTGCTATATATTTCATATGTGGTTAAGTGGAAGTAAAAAATAATTGAATTAATTTTCACAGGGAGATGATTGGTGAAAGTTGAGGTATGTGTTTAAACAATAAAGAAATAACACTTTTAGAAAAATAAATTATTTAAATATCGACAATAAGATCCAAAATTAGTTACCTAATATATAGAAATCGAGATTGAAGGATAAAATTAATTAAAATGATACCTAAAGCTCGATATTAATAAGTAATGATATACAATGCTAATGCTAATACTAATATTATGAAAAAGTATCTTTCAGCTTTCAAGCGTTGTTTTAGTAGATAATATTTACTAGATTATACAAATATTTAATTTTATAAAGGTAACATAAGAACAAGTATTAAAAAAATATATGTGCCGAAAAATGGGGTCAACAAATAAAAATTGGTGGTAACGTATAATTAAATTTTTATAGAAATTTATTATTTAATTTATGAAATTATTGAAATTTTTGTCTCTATATTTAAAATATTGGAGGTAGAACGTTGTAATAGCGTCAAAAGGTGTATTGCTTTTTTTGTGTATTTAAGGGCTGTATTTGACACTGCTGATGGAAATTAATATCAACACTTTTTAATCCAGGATTTAAAAATAAACTCTCTTCCATTATATGATGCCTTTCAACATTTTATCTCTAATGATTTCTCGTGAAGTGGGGTAGATGACTCAACCTTTGTTAAATTTTAATTTTATCTATAATTTATCCAGTGAGTGCCTAATATTTTACTTAGGATTACCAATATGCACAATTTATCGAATGAGTATATTTTAACTACAATTTGAAATGATATGAGTGTTATTAGTCAGAGAATAAAAATTAAAGTAATAGATTTAAGTGAATAATGGACGAATTAATAGAATGGTAATCATAACTTATTGTTCGGATTATTTGACCGTGATGAAGATGGGAGGATACTTATAATTTATTATTTCGAACGAATATGTTGAGAGAATGATAACGCTTATTGTTATTAATTATTAAGCACCACATTACCTTTACCTAATTATCTTAGCCACAGCAACCACAGCCGGATCTACGGGGGAGGAGAAGCGTTCTGGCTGACTCTCCTCCCCAAAATGGTAAAATATAATCATGTTTAATGAAAAAAATTATCTCTAAATGTATTATTGTTCCTCTAATTACATTTAATAGGACTTAAATAATCACTTAAACACCATTTCATATAGGTATTTAGTTTCTTTCTTTCTTCCGAAGTAATTATCCTAATATATACATACAAAAAAAATCGTTTAGGCTGAAGCCCTCCCCCTCCAAAATTAAATCGTGATTCGTTACTGACAGCAACTATTAAAGGCTCACAGACATTATGTAATGCATAAACTCACACACAATGCATGCAGATATTTTTGTACTAACTTTTAACCAACGATATATTGTTTATTAATGCGTATGTGTATATGAGTGGATACGTAAATGATAAACTTTTCAATTTACGTGTTTCATAGTTATGCCATTTAGATATCTACATTTCATAGATATTATAAGAGTATACCTATAATAAATAAATTAATATAATGCAATATACGAAACACAATTATTTTAATTGATTTATAAATAATTGGAGAAAATTTGCGTTAATTTTAAAATTAAGTTATTGAATATATTTTTTTTACTATTTAGGCAACACTGCATTTAGTTTCAAGGCTGAGATAGACGCTACCTTTCGACCAATCAGATGCCAGTTAACATATTAACCTGCCTAAGTGTCTGTTTCTTGTTAGCAACATCTTTATTTCTAAAAATATATTAGTTATTCAGTTATATTTCACTCAGTTCATCATCATTTAGGATATTTTAAATTTTTTCATCTGTTGCGGAAGTATTTTTAATTATACTACTGTAATAATATTTATTAGTTTCGAAACTAATTAGTGCAGTTATGAAATTCAAGATTGAAGCTATCTTATGCAGAACAGCAAGTATGCAAATTAAACTGTAAGTAATTATTTAAAATATTTCATATTGTAAATATGACTAGTTTTTTTACGTTTTATTAGTTGAAAACTGCTACCAATTATAATTTAAAATTTTAACTTTTAATTAAAATAAACAATGGCATACACTTGCCTTGAATGTTAATTCATACTTCTTTGTAAGAGACCTTGCAGATTATTCTATTGTTTTCAAATTCATGAACTAACTGTTCCTCACTCCAAAAGAAATACAACAAAAAATTAATAATATGAATAATGTATAAGTTGATTATTTTCCGGTAAAATATTTCTTTTTTCACATTATCTGCATTTTGGTATTTTATTTTGCACAAGTATAAAGGGCAGTTGCTACAAAATTTTTATCAGTAACCATTAAAATATTGGTTAAAATAAATGAAATTAGTGTATTCTAG